TATGACTTAAGTTTGTCTTCTGACAGTTCTAAACTGGTATTTAAGTTGTGTTGTGACATTTAATTAAATGAGTGCATGAATAAATAATTTATTTCGCATGTGTTTGATGCATGCAAGTGTGTATGCATTTGTTTCTGCATAATAAAAAATCCCATGGAGTGAGGTCAATTTCTTAATGCTCTAAGGCTGGCATTTTCTGTAATACCAAATGAAGGAACGATTCAAAACAATATCTGATTATCCACTTTTATTCTTTTCAATTTATATTCTAGTGCAATATTTTTCATTCATTCTACTTAAACATAAAGCAGATTTCCTATTTTTAAGTTTTTATATAGTTTGATATGATATAAGAGGCTTGATATTGATTATTATTAATATTAATAAAGATCTGTAAAGTCCATAATGTAAACAAACGCTTTGTTTACATTTTGAACTGCTAGTATATTTGTAAAATATGATATACTAACTGAATATCTAACACTTTTCTGGTTTCCTATGCTTGTAAATGAATAAACTCTACGTTTCAATTCAAAAAAGTTCGAAAAATGCAAAAATTTGGGCAATGTTTATATCTGCGGGTCCCCCTTTGTTAAGAGCAGAACGGACTTTACAGCATCTTTAAGCGTAGTACTAAGTACTAACGTTGAATATGTAGCGCGAATTGTTGGTGATAATTATGTCCTATAAGTTCTACTTTTGTGTTAAACTATTTTTGATTGACACTTTTACCAAAGACGCGTTCTATACTACTTATGCTAAGTGATAACGTTTCAGTTCATGTATTATCCGCTCTTCTATCCTAACCCCAACATCGCAATTTTCCCAGTGTGTGGTATCCTTTCTCATGTCCCGCACCGGTATCTCCAAATCTCATCTCAGTAACAGGCAGTGTGCTCTTGTCAGTCAGATATCCACTGTCTTCACGCCATGTCCGGTCATTCGCGTCACAATTACATTTTCCTCCACCTGCACAGCTGTTGGTCAATCCACATGCACATTTTCCACTGTTGACTGCCGCCCCGCCCCAGTAATTCATCCGCGAACCTTGACGTGATACCCACCAACTATCATGTGTAGAGTAAAACCAAAAACCGCTGCTATAACATTGATATTTTATAAACTGCTCACAATTCTTGGACTGCTTCACAATGGCAAGGATCTGTTCCATGGAAATATCATATTTAATCTTTCGTCTGTAAGAACCTGGAGATTCATATCCATTCACAAGTGTCGTTGATTCACTGTCATGTCCAATCACCGTTACACCAACACCATTCTTTGACGTCATATCACAGTATAGGTGAACCAATGGCGATGAACTGAGTCCAAGAGGATTTAAATAATACATTCCACCGGTTGTTGATGAGTGCTTTAGCGACAAAGCTGAACAAGACTGCTTGTGTAACCTGTCGAAACGCTTCAAAATATCTATAAAACATAATAATTTTTCGTTTGTATTGAAAGCTGTTAAACTCGAAAATAATTCCTGAGACGCGCGTTCCTAATACTCTTCTGGGTACATAAGGGTAGATGTGGATATCAATAGACACTTCCCAAATTTGCTTGAGTGCACACGAAACAACAGCTTGAAATCGAGGCGGGCAATGTAATCCACTGTAAATAAGCAGTTTAAACGGAATAATACTTTGCAAGCCGCAGACATAAAACAGCATATATAGCAACAAACAAAATTGTTTTTTATACACGTCCAGTAAAATCGCGATTGGAAACTAAAACGACGAGTGCACATTAGGCTATAGTAATATAATAACACTGTTTGATGCTCGCATTTATCAATTGCGTATCATTACTCGTCTACAGAGATTCATGTTTGGAACTTGGATATTACATTTGGGTGTTAGAGTTTGGCAAGAGTCTATAGAGAACTTTTCCTGATCTTAATTAATCAGCTTGTTTAAGCAAAGCAAAGGAGTAAATATAACTATCGAGTCTGTAGTGTTTTTTAGTTTAGCTGCATGTATTAGTATAGAAGCAAATTTTTAACACTTTAAATTAAATTGCAACCTCCTTGCTACGGTTTAATAAAATTGTGATATAGCCTTATTTTCTATAACTCTAACAATGTATACGCTTATTGGTCTTTTCGTTTTCTTACATTGGATTTCTACTTCCAGCTTTTTAATCATACTCCCTTGCCTTTTGACTTGTTTCTTCAATTTCTCAAACTAGAATAAGATTTAATTGAGAGATTAGAAATACCACCACTGAAAGTGAAGTGGCATTTTTGGGACATCCTGTATCGTTAAATCATTTTCAAACTTTTCGTCTGTTTGCCGTGCTATTTAAAGAGCACGTATATAGTTAGTTATTTATGTTTATTGCAGAGGAATATAGTTTTGCATGGGAAAAATAGACCGGTATTTATAAGTCAATACATTTGGCCTAAAAACTCTACTAATTTCTATTGTCCAATTAATGTCTTCGCATTATTTCACCAGTGCTCAGACTCACTTTAGCCGAATCAGGACCAGTTTTCTCAACCACAGTTCCCGACATCCAAGATTTTGCATGGACGTCTGAAATCTTTGATATAAACTGTGTCATCCACTTGTATCTCCCATTAGCATGATAATCATGGGATGATTTTTGTTGTGTTCGCTTTTCCAGGACTCGGTCACCAACGTTTGTGTGGAGTAGGTCCAATTGGGTGTGTAATTTCCGATTCATCAACAACTGAGCCGGTGGAACTCCCGTGGTGGAATGTGGGATAATACGACACTTGAGAAGAAATCTAACCAGCTTGATTTTTAGGCTCCTTCCATTTTCGCTATTCCTTCCCGCTCTGCCAGCTCTGCTTGGTCGTTAGGGCCTGGATGATACGGTGATACTTTAATATGTTCAATGCCATTCTGACTCATAAATAGCTCAAATTCGTTGCTTAAAAAGTTAGTCCCATTGTCACTAACGACTGTCTTGGGTAGTGCATGGGTCGCAAAGATTTCTCTTAACTTTTCCATTGTAGCTGTAGAAGTAATTGACTTCATCATGTGTAATTGCACCAACTTTGAATAGACATCTATTATGCATCAGTCAAATCCAAGCGTGCCCATCTCATCAGGAAACCCCCGACCTTTTGACAATTCTCGAAAGTATGCGACAAATTCCCGGGGGCGGGGATAAAAAACACGTGAAAATGCCCTGCAGCGGGGCAAAAAGTCAGTAGCAAATCGCCCTCCCCGGGGACAGCTGGACTGTTTGGCTAAGAAGAGTAGGTTATCTAACTACCTGAAAATAAAGAGAATACTTTCTTCGGCGTTTCGGCAGGAAATGCCCCGGGGGGCATGGGCACGCTTGGATTTGACTGATGCATTAGCACAAGGAACATTTCTCCTTTGTACGCTCCAGCATAATCTATATAAACTTGTGACCATGGCTGGCCTGGCCATTCCCAGAGATGCAGTGGTGCCTTGTCTGGTGTTTTCTTATTCTGCTGACATTTTCTGTTCTTCATTGGTATGAATTCCATGGTATGAATTTCACATCAGTTTTTCCAGTGTAATTACTACGCATTTCACTGATATGTGCATTCCGCATTTTTTCTCGCTTCCGAATGGCGTTCGACGCAGGCCTGGTTACAAAATTCGGCGCCTTTTCAAGTTTTCATCAATACTTCTGTCATTCAAGAAAATTCAAACTTGAAAAGGCGCCAAATTTTGTAACCAGGCTTGTGTCGAACGCCGTTCGGAAGCGAGAAAAAATGCGGAATGCACATATCAGTGAAATGCGTGGTAAGTTATTGACGAAGAAAGATTAGGTATATTTGGGATTATAAGAAGCCAATATATATATACTGCATATTTAATTCCCTATTACGCCCAGAATGTTGTATTAAGTATTAGTAATATTTATCTTACTGCTGAAGGAACTCAATAATCTGGGTCAACACACTTAACAGTTGTCAAATTTCATCGTATCCAAACACGAAGATTAAGATATCTTAATATGGTCAGGCTCGTTTCAGATTATTTTACTCATTGTTTTGACTGTTTCTTCTTGTATGAAGCTGCTGTATGGTTCAACTATTTTCATTGAAATGTTTCTTCATTTTTGCCAAAGCGATCACAGCAGATGTGACGAGGTAGCTAACCTTTCAAAAAAAGTATGTTTGCTCCTGAAGTGAATGCAGACTTTCAGAACAGTTAATGAAAGGTCGCATCGCTGATGCACTCCTTAAATATACCTGATATACTTGTTTGTCTTTCTTGGAAAAGTTTATATACATTACACTTACAGAGACTTTACATGTACAGGATGCATGTCCAAAAAATGCCCCCACTATATGATTTGTATATAGTATTACTATATGTCGGCATTGATGTGAGTTACGGATTTTTACTTTTGGCATGAAGTCAGAGTGAAGCACGCATACATTTTATCGTGACTACTAATTAAGCTATATATATACCTACACTACATAAATGGTTGCGGTAGTTCATATATAGCCACATTGATATGTTTTCGCTTAACCGCGTGGTTATACCTTTGCGTACGGCAAAACTCGCCTACGAGGACCAGCGGGTTAAGAAGCAACAGCCTGAAATTTAGCAAAATTAAGCACCCAAAATACAAGGATCACTTCAGGCTGACGAATAAGACTGATTCTTAAAAAAATCCTCTAGAATGCATGTTCTAAGTGAGGGCATGCATGCAGGCGGGTATTCGCAGGTGTATGCTTGATCTAATACCATTGCAAATGGAAAAGCATATAATCTGTTACGGGTATACGTATCTAATGAGGACACTCGGAAACCTTTTAATAGCAATTACTAGACGACGTGTAATACTGATCAACAGTTTATATACTATATAATTACAGAAACAAATAATTTAAAATACCAGACTATAGGAACAATTGTTTTCGACTAGAAATATAAAGAAACAGTTTTAAGAACCAACTCAGGCCGATTTCTCATTATAAAATACCCGAATATATAAGAACCACTTAAATAGCCTGATATAAAAATAGTGGTTCTTTTATGCGCGAGTTTTTACTGTATGCTCTCTTATTTTCAGAGACGCTCCTCAGTTGAAGTTTTGGGACACCCTGTATATAAATCATTTTCAAAGTTTTTTTATATTTTATATTTGTTATATACTTTCATGATTAACACACATACATCTGAAGAATATAGTTATGCGACACATATGTTTGATGGATCCCATGGGCAGTTCTCGCTTTCAGCTGACGATATAAATAAAACCATATATAAAATTGTTTCCGTATAACCAAAACAGTATAAGCAATTGTAAAGATGCGATCGTATGTTAAGAAATAAGACGTATCTATACTATAGAAATCGCGTGTCGTGCATATACAATCCACAATCGTAATATACATGCGCAGTAATAGAGAACCTGCTGGGCTTAAATTTTGAGAAATATATAAGAAATTTTACCAAATGTATCACCTATCATCATTTTAGTACCAACTATACCTTGTCGCTTTGCGATAAACCAAAAGCCAAGCTCAGCCAGGCTGAGAAAATGAGGATTTTCAACAGAATTTTCGCAGACATCATTTTGTAAATTTTGTCTCCAAGCAAGTTCTGTCTTCTTCCTTCAGCTCCTTGAGACGTAATGATTGATTCTACCTACTGTGATCAGTTTTAGTCTGTATGCCTTCTGACAACCTGTCAAAAGCAAAGGTTGACAAAAGAACCAAGCGATCGTCATTAAATACCATGCAGCGTCTTGTATTTACAATTGGGTGTTATTGATCAATTTTCTTGGAAATATAAGGTCAGCCTAAAAATAAGATTATATTTGTTAGGAGGTAATTTTTACAGGATTTACTCTCTTTTTGCTCAAAAACAATTGGAGTGCATGCCTGCTCTTGTCCAATCAGAATTGAGTATTTTTATATCAAATGCTCTAGCTACCGCCAATATCAATTTACTGAGATTAGTTCCAAATCATATTTACAAAATATGAAATTTTTTAATTTAATCGACTTTTAGGAGATGCATATCGAATTTATTCATTTTGCAATTACTAAATTGGAATATCGTCAAAAGAGTATGAATATGAAATACACTGTAGCACGCCTTCTTTTTCATGTCGTTTGATTTTTTGATGAATTTTGAATGAATTAATCCTTCAAAATCAGCTTCGTGAACAGTGGAATTATATATTGCGACATATATCCACACAACCTACATGCATGGCCAAGTTCTAAAAGTTGATATTTTAATAAGATCATCCCTGACAGACAACGTTATATGATCAATTATTGAAGACGAATCGCCCTTGTCCGCTTTCGAAAGATAAACGTTTTTCAACATGCAGACCGTGAATTTTCAGAGAACTTGATCAGCCGAGGTATATACGCATGTTTTTTAGTTGGGGAGGGTTTAATAAAAACTAAAATTTCTTATCTAAAATAACTTGGCCGAGAAAATTTAGGGTTAGGCCTTTGTGGAATATATCAAATTAACTGTTAATTCAATTAAACTTTATAAATTGATACCGTAGTCATAGCTACAGTATATACTCCAAGCATGTTGAGTTGATAATATTATTTGTCTTATTGCTGAAGGAAGTTAATTGATAATCTGGGTAAACACACTTATCAATTGTCAAATTTCATTGTACATTATCCAAACACGAGGATTAAGATATCTTGTGGTCAGGCTAATGCCACGTTTAAAAACATTTTAATGCATCTTTCAATCATCTTCATTAATGCATCTTTCATTTGTTCTTTCCTACCTAGCTTGTTTTCCTGCGACTGTGTCTTGTGTAAAGCTTCTGTTGCGTTCATTTTTTCTGTATATTTTTTAATTTCATGATTTCTTGATTGTAGGCAAAGCCATCACAACCTTGTAAAAGTATATCAACATGTATATATATACTGTTCAGTTGATCTAATTTTCATAATTTCGACATGTCAGCATATTTTAATCACTTAAAAGTGATTCTACAAGGCAATAATTGGTTAGTCAATCGATTATTATCCAGTGCAGTTATTCAATCTAGTATAAAAAATCTAATCTATAATCTAACGTATTATACCACAACATACAGTATAGTGGAGGCGTTATTTGGGACAGCATATGCAATTGAGCAGTATACAATTGAGCTACATTATGCATGGCTGATCGAGAACTCTCGCCGACGGTCATATACTGACGAAACATTGTCCCAGTTTATGGATAAACCAATTCGTCAAGCAAATATTCTAAAACAATTACGAAAGCAGCTATGACACACACATGCAATGCTGTGGGAGAAGGGTTGTCGAGGAGAAATATGCTCCGATTATATTTTAAACTGTGGCCAAAGCGTCGCCCCACAGACTCACTATTACAACAATATGATTATAATATAATTATATGTCCTCAGGGGACCCAAGGGGTATAGTAGCTCCCCGAAGCTCAAACATTAAGTTTATAATATAAGTGTATAAACGGTTTCAAGGCGGGGTCATTTTCTTAATGCTGCAAGGCTAATATTTCTGGGACATCAACTAAAGTGCGTGCACTCACTACATTCTGGGAAACAGTAACGACGCAAAACAATATTCTGGATATCTACTTTAATTCTTTTCAATTGAGATTTTAGTGCAACATTTTTGTATCACTCGACCCAAACTTAAAACAGATTATAAGTTTATATAAAGTTTGATATGATATATTTCTCCATAGATCTAGCATATAGATCAGCCATGCAGGAATGAGTTTTTATAACCAAGAAAGGGTCAGAAACAAGCCAATTTACACTGTATATTTAATCCCGTATTACGCCCAGCATGTTGCATTGTTAACAATATTTATCTTATTGCTGAAGCAACTTAATAATCTGGGTCAATACACTTAACATTGTCAAATTTCATTCTACATTATTCAAACACGAAGATTAAGAAATCTTATGGCCATGCACGTTTAAAAATGCATCTTTCAATGATCTATCATTGTTTTGCCTGCATGCATGTGGATGTATCTTGTATGAAGCTGCTGTTGCATGCGTTCAACTCTTCTATGTATATTTTAATTTAATTGTTTCTTCATTCTATAAGAAAAGCTATCACAGCTTTTTAAAAGTATATTATATATTAACATATATACCTGTTAACCTAATTTTCATGATTTCGACATTTCAGAATATTAGTGTCGCCACCTTAAGTGATTCTACAAGGCAATTGGTTACCCAAATGTTAATGGATTATTATTCAATCCAGCTATTTAATCTAGTGTAAAAATCTGAGTTTTATATTAAAGCTAAATAAATTATGTAATACCACAGAAAAATAGTAGGGGCACCTTTTTTGGACACCCAGTTTACGCAATTGAGCAATGTATACACTATATTCACAACGCTGATAATGATATGCAAAGCGGAAATAAGGCAGAAAAAGCCATCAAATGCAAATGTGGGCACAGTTATTGGGGTGGAGGCATAAACAGGAATGTATAAAAGGACGGCCAAGCCAGAATACTCCCTCCTTGCTCAGTTGCATGGTCTGGCGTATATGGCTGAGTACGGCCCACCCGGACCCCACCCTCGATTCGCGTGAGCGGTGCTCTGTCTCCCAGTCTCAGCCAAACTGTTCCAGCTTGTCTGAGACTACGCTGACCATGCAATTATTTACTCCCATACCTTATTCCAGCTGAGCAAGAATCAGTGTTGTGAAATAGAATACTATGGCTTGTCGAGAACTCTCACTGACGGACATACTTAAGACTATAGTTCAAAAATTCTTAGCGCTGTAAGGCTAACTTTTTCTGGAACATCAAATAAAGGGCCCTTCACTATATTCTGTTAAATTAAACAGTCCCACGCAGAGAGGGCATGCAATTTCTTTCTGCCTTACAAGGCTGGGATTTTCTGCAACCCCAAATAAAGCGGCTAGCTAGAACGACGCGAAACAATTTCTGATTATCTACTTTTATTCTTTTTAATTTAGATTCTAGTGCAACATTTTTTGTATTATTCACTTAAACATAAACAGACTGGGTTTTGTTAAAATTTGTAAATATATATATATATATATGTACTATTTAAAGCACGCGTAGGAGTGTTTTATCACATATAAAACGCGAGGCGTAGCCGAGCGTTTTATATGTGATAAAACACGATTACAAGTGCTTTAAATGGCTTAAAAAACGACTCATCTTATACGAGTTTATTGGCGAAGTAATTTTTAAAATAAACTTTGTCTAAACCGAGAAAATCAAAGCTAAAGTTTTTGTAAATTAACATGATTTTTTATCACATATAAAACCACGACACGCTTATGATTTTTCTTTGTGTTTTGCTCCTGAATTATTAATGAGTTTTTTATATATATATATATATAGAGTGCTCAATATCATAAAGATAGAGCAAATGTAGAATTTCGCTTACCTCAAAATTCCGCAACAGTCTGTTTCATCAGTAAAGAATCATCAGGCGGTATGACAAGTTTCGAAAAATAGGGCTGCTTATATGTGTTTTGGCCGGAACGTGGGGGGGTGTGGGTGAAACAAAGCATGCATTCATCTATTGTTTGCGTTGTTTACGCGGAAATGCCTAATCGAATTGTGGGAGTGTATTGTGGCTATCTTTAAAACGGGGAACGGGGAATGGGGGAAGGGAACGGGGAAGGGAA